TATCAGGTGACCTTGTTATTTGGTTGTATTGTACCAAGAAGGCTACAACCCTGTAACAGCATGTATATAGTTGTGTTTGTATTACTGTATTGTTTTTGATCTATATCATCAACAAATACATTTAAGAAATAAATACTGCTGACTGTTTTGGTAGTTTTATATATTAATCTTTAGAAGGGGTAAGCTAAATCATTCACTTTTACAAAATTTCCTTGAAGCAAAGTAAAGGCAAGAGGTGAACCAACTTTGTAGCTTTTGTAAGTTCTTGACATTTATAGGTGTTTCTTGTAGATTTTACAGTTATATAGAACTAATATATTCAATTTTGTTGTTTACTTGATAAAAAACTTTGGCTTTTACCAACTACTTCTTCTATAGTCCCAAAGTGTATTTAAACTATCATCACAAAGCTGTAACTTCTTTTTTAACTTTATTTCAATATTTAACTATATATATACAGTACTCTGAAAAAGTTTTTATAAAGTTTAATAAATTAACTATATTATTTTTCTATAGTTTAGCTTTTTGAAAAGTTTGGTTTGAATGATTATTAGGAAAAGTTTATTTAGTTTTTATTTTTTTTTGTTTCTTATTATTTTGTATATATAGTATATACTATAGAATAATACTGTTTCTTATATATAGTATTTTTATTTTTTCTTTTTACTATACAAAATAATATTATCAGTTTGGTAATGTTTAACTATATAGGTAAGAAAACATGATGAGCTAAATAGACTCATATAGTAATACTGATGAATAAAGAATGAAATATCTGATTTTTAAGATTGAATTAAATCTATTTTATAACAAATTATGGATAAGTATTATTAGGATAACCAGTTGAGTCTTAATATGGATGTTTAGTATTTTTTATACATAGTTTTTTTTTATTGTTAAAGTAGGCTTAAAAACCTTTGTAGTTTTTAATTATATTAAATAAATATTAAAACATGGCTTGCCAAAAAAGAAAAAAATATAGACAATTAAAACTAATACAATAAATTATAAACTATATAAAAATATTAAAAAAATAGAAAATATTAAAAAAATAGAATATATTAAAAAAATAGAAAATATTAAAAAAATAGAAAATATAATATAAGACTAAAAATAAATATATAATAATAATATTAAAAAAATAAATTCTATTATAATAAGAATATGATAACCTAATGAAGTGGTCAGGTTGTCAACCTCTCAAGTAGTAGGTTGAGTGTTTAAATCCTATTGACAGTGAAAAATTTGAATAATCACTTATATAATATTTATATTATAATAAGTGTTATTAATAATTGAATTAAATATCTGTAATAACAGTCATGCTAGCATAACTGACAGGTCATGGAGCATTTGTGTAATCTGTTATACAGAAGAATGCAAACTGACAAATTAGGCAGTGCAAATACTAGATAAGTATTTGTAACTATATAAATCTGTTGAAATTGTATAACAAGAAATCCATTTAAAAAAAATCCAAATAAAGTGATAGTTAAATCTTTGATGGTCTTACTGTAAAGGCTAGCTCAGAAAAATGAATACCAAGATTATAGTACCTAATTGTAGTAGCTGAACAGTCAAAAACCTTCAGATTAAAAGTTTTAGAAGTACTACTGACTAGGTTGCTAGAATGAATAAAAAAAAAAAGAATATTAGGCTGACCTGATATACTGATAGACTAGTCATAGTTCTATATAAGCTATCTAGATTAAGAGTTTGTTAAAAAGACAGGTAAAAAGACAGGAGTATACTAAAGTATTAAGGTTATGCTGTAAAATAGATGCTGAAGTTTGTGTGAACTCTATAAAGACATAGTGATTAAATAATATAACACTAACTGCAAGTATTGGTTCTGTTATAGTAATATTTAAGTCAACTGTAAAAATGAGTATAGAAGGCTCTGAAAGATTTACCTTGAGGATAAATTAGTTCTAAGGTTAAGATGATGATCAAGACATCTGAGATGATCCAGTAAGTTAACACAGATTACAGGTTTAGAAGGTTTAAAGTAAAACACCCAAGCAGAAATATTAGGTACAACAATTGGTAGAAAACCTTTAAGCAAATTCCTTAAATAGGTAATATAAAAAAATTATACATGTAGTCAATTGTATTCTTTCCTGTAGTGGTTCATAGAATTACATTACCAATAAGTCATTAATAAAAGTCAAAAGACCAAAAAGGTCACCTTAACATCAAAAAAAAAAATTTTTATTATAATATAATAACTTTTATCAATTATCAACTAAACATACTCTAAAACCAAAAAACTCTTACTATACTACTATTGTTATTAAATACTAACAGCACATAAGTGAGCGTAATCATCAAAGATATTATAACTTTGCACAAAAATAAGATACTTAACAAGATAATAAATAAACAAAAAACTATACAGTTACAGAAACAATATTGCACAAAATCAATAAAGCAATATATGAACAGATTTGAATTACTTGATGTAAAACAATATCTTGAAACCATAACATATTAAACCAACAACCTATGAATTCTTGTATTGACAGAACAAACCAACATTCCAAAACATTTCCAGTCAACATTAATCACAAAAATTTATAGGTGAAAAAAAAAATTACTATTTGAACAGAAAACTTCAAAAATTACAATGCAACTTCTAACTTCATAGCAGCAATTCGGGACTAAGCAAGGCTTTTGACCTCTCTTGACAAAGTTTGGGTCAAGGGTAAACTAACTCTAGCTTTTAGTTTTTCATAGATAGAATATATACTATGTTATATAATGTAATATATCTATATATAAGTTTTAATAAAGAAAACTGAGGCAAAATCTCACTTTTGCTGTCCGATTTTATGTATCGGAAACAATTACATAAATCTGCTAAGGTAATCTAGTTTTCGTGTACGAGCGTATATAAAATATATATATATTTGCCGTTTTCAACCGTTTTGAAAACTGTGATAAAAAATCTTATTATTAAAATATATAAATATTTTTTAAATTTTTATTAATTGGAATTAAACATTACCAATTATCTATTGTCTTTTAAATTAGGCGTTCACATAACAAAGAAAAAATTGTTCATCTTTTACATAAGTTATGACAGAAGTAGGCTGCATTCGTATGGCTTCTCATACATTAATAATTTTATTTTGACAAACTAGTGACAATTTTATTCACATTGAAAGTCGGATAAGTATTTCATTTTATATTGTAATGATCTATTGTGGAGTTGCGTCATATTTGAATTATCTCATCTAATATAATAACACTTAACCGTATTTGCGCGAAACAACGCCCATAGCGTCATCTTGGGACATTCATAATTTTATTTTTAAAGAAATTAATTATTAACTCTCTTTTAATTGTGTGTTTCAAATAACGCCCATGGGCATTATTTTGCGTAAATGCGGCAGATTATAATATTCTTTTTGAAATGACATTTTGAGTCAAGAACCTTTGTAAAAATGATATTTATAGATTGTTTTGAGATTCGAAATCAACTTTTGTCGATGATAGATTCGAAATTCATTAAATGGATTCGAATCAATAGAATTCTAAATCCACCTCCAACATATGTTCGGGAAATGTTATAAATATGCTTTGAGTCAAGGGAGAGTACTTAAAGCAAATATATTTTATTATTATTAGATGCAGGAGTGCAATATGTATAAGTATCATAACTGGTATGTACATATAAAATTCGTGATTTAAGGAACTTTTCCTATTATGTTTTTTGCCACCTTTTCCTAAGAATCCTATTTTTTTAATGCTATAGTTCTAGAATTGCTATATTTAAACATTAAAATTCTGTGATTTTCAATAGTTAAAGGTCTATATGATAAAAATAGTTTAAATATTGTTATGTCAATATGTAATAAAAATGTCATTTTGAAAAAATTTTAAGGATAATTCTATGCTTTCTTTTTGCATATCGATATTAACATCCTATAATCAGCTAAACAGCCACTTCGTCTTGATTTGCATGTAATCGACATAAGTATTTATAGAGACTACAATGGTTTTAATTATTTTATTAGGCTATATAACAAACGAGAATATGCGATACTACATAATATATATATTTTTTAAAAAAAATTATGCATAAACATTAATTTAATTACCCCATATCCTCTAAGAATTTTTTTTTTCTCTGAAAAAAAAAATCAGAATAACATTCACAGAAATTATAAAATAAGTTAATAAGCTGTAAGACTCCAAATTAAACATTAACCATTCCATGGTCGTTGCGAAAAAATCCATTGATTATTATTTTGAACAAATGGTTGTGTATTGAGAGTCATTTGTTGCTGTGTTACTTGTTGTCGTTGAACGACACCTGGACGCATTGCTCTGTAAACCTGTGCCATTTGAGGCATGTTCAATTGCATTTGTGGTGTTTGCTCTGAAATCATCCCTTGTAATTGTTGTTGATTTATTGGAAATTGCTGCTGAACCATAAAACCCTGGTTATTCCCTATTATTTGCTGTTGCGTAGCCATCATCGCATCAACTTGTTGCGAGTTACCAACTTGCACTTGAGGTGCGAATCGTCTCTGCATCATTGCAGGATTAGTTACTTGATTCACTAGCTGATTGGGAACCTGTCCACGTATCTGACCAGATAATTGTGCAGCATGCTGGGCTTGTTGTAATCGACGTAGTGCTATAAACTGATCTCGGGTAAGTACTAATCCATTAACTATGATATTTTGGCCAGCGCCATTTTGTTGTGGAGTATTTTGTGTAGAAGGTAATTGTATGCCATTATGAATTGGAAGCTGATTTGTTACTGTTCTAGGTGTTATCATGATAGGAGATTGACCTGGGATCTGTCCAGGAGACTGCATAGGTGTATTTGGTGCTGATCTTTGAGAAGGTTGTGAAATTTGACCTTGTTCAGCTGATGGCATAGGTGTTGAAGGAGCAGATGTTCTTGAGGGTGGTGCAGGTGATTTCATTGGAGTTCCCGGAGATCTTTGTACAGGGTGGACCTGTGTCTGCTCTGACAACTGCATAGGAGTTCCGGGTGTTGACTGAGAAACAGATTGCATCTGATTTTGCACTTTAATAGAATTATTTTGAGCAGATATTTGAGTTTGTTGTGCAGGAACAACGACAGAACTTTGGTTTGGTGGTTGTCTTGGTGGTTGAGGAGATATAGTTTGTTGCATTCCCTGCAGTTGCATTACCATTTTAGGTGGTATTTTTCCAGGATTAGGAGACTGTACAACTTGGTTTGTTGCGATACCTTGTCTTTGTTGACGAATTACCATTGGTGATGTAATCTGAACTGCTTGCTGCTGCTGGGCGGACATTTGAACATTTATTGGCATTTGATTCGGGTTTTGTGGCTGAGCAGGAATCTGTTGATTTGAAATTCGCATCATTCCTTGCATTGAAGGTTGTGGAGATGCCATCTGAACTACTGGTACTGGACGGTTCGGAATTTGTGGACGAGTTTGTGGTGGTTGTATAGATTGGGGATTTGGTGATGTCTGCATTGGAGTCGGTCCTTGGGCTACCATTGGTTGTTGCTTTATAACAGGTCTCATAGGTTGCTGTGGTTGAGAAAATCTTTGCAAAGCTGGTAAAGTTGGTGGTTGTTGGCGCACATAGCGCCTTGACGGGCGTGGAGGTGGAGGCATTGATGATGATTCTTCAGCATGTCTTTTGATTACAGCTGCCGTATAAAGATCAGAAATTGATGTAATTTCAGCCTTTGTACCATCTTCATTAGTGTATTCAAACGTGGAATATTTGGTTTCAGGTGTAGATTTGGCTTCGGGTGTAGATTTGGTTTCGGGTGCAGATTTGATTTCAGGAAGTAACTCCAGTATCTGGTAAGGTTCACTCTTATCAATGTTATGAATATTAAATAATTCATTTTGATTTGATTCTTGAGAATATTCCTCTGCTAATCGAACAATTCTTTCAGCATAAATTTTATTAGACCGTTCAGAATCGTCTAGCAATTCATTGTTCATCATATATAAGACAACAAATGATTTAACAAACGTTTCATAATCTGCGGTATTCTCAAGTTCGCACCTATTTTATTGTAAATAGGTTAATAAATGAAATTAAACTACAAAAAAAAATTAAAATAAATAACATATACTTGAGTGTTGGTTTACTATCACTAAGTTTAGAAAGATATCTTTGACATGAAGGCTGAGTATGGTCGCCATTTTCTTGCAAAATTTTTCCTTTGATTGCATGAACAATGACTTCATGTTTGTCATTATTATCGCGATATATGTAAACCAAAGTGTAAAGAGGATACTCTTTCTTATCTAAATAATCACAAAAAATAAAGTATATATATGATTAATGCATTTAATATTGTTGAAGAAATCAATATAATGCTTACCTTCTGAATCAGTATATCTTCTTTTAAATTCTATGGTTCTTATAAGGTTTTCAGGAATAGTCATAATTGTACCTCGTACTATTATAATAATAATAAAAAAAACAAGAACAATGATTATTTTATAGATCGAATGAATCATTACAAGTTAAACATGATTGATAATATATTTTCCTTGTTCAGAAGAGGATTCTAATTCAGCCCTATTTTTCCCTTTACCAGCTAAATGCTGATTAGTTTCAGTTATTCCATTCTCTTTACTGCGGAAGTACTTTATTTGATTATACTTTGGAACGAATTCTTTGCCAACACGCTGATAATTGAATCGTAAATTATTTAAAATATGAATAGTTAAAACTAATCAACGGGAAAGTTTGTCAAAAACATACATCGTCCATCATAAACATCATCTTTTCAAGTTTGACACGTTTAGCATCCTCCAATTCAACTTCATACGAATTAAGTTTTCGTTTTTTCTTTTTCAATTTTCTATGTGTAGGTTTGATGTATGTATCATTTGCCGCTTGATCACGACGCAGCATTGGATCAAGGTCCAAGTCAAGTTGCGGATACAATGCAAGCTTTTAGTGGATCAAATTTAATTAAAGAATTTTTAATAACTTATAATAATACCATAAAAAAGCATGAAATAAATTATAAAAAAAAGAAAGTGACCTTACAAGCAATTGTGCTTCTACCTGAATGGCTTGTTCATGAGTCCATGAGCCATCCGTTTCTTGGTTTAAACGCAGAATTTCATCCCAGATGGATGATTGATTATGCCTCAACATTGACCTCTTGCCATTGCATTTTGGTTCACTCCGATGATCCAGGAACTCAACTACAACGCAACCTGAAACATAATCAAAAATTAAATTAATATTCTATCATTTGAATGTTAACTATAGAAAATAGTAATGTTTATTTACCATTATAAAATTTATACTGTTTTACATTTAACTCCGAAGTCCCATCCTAAAATGACGCATAAAAAAAAAAAAGGGAAAAAAAAGAATTCATCACATTTTTATGAATCATATTCAGAAATTTATTATATGGAAATTATAGTATTTTTAAATTTTTTAATTTTTTTGAAAAAAGCATACCACATTTCTGAATTCTATACGTTTATCATAAACGTGAGCATAAAGAGAAACTTGTGAATTATCGAGGTTTTCTGATAACTGATTTGACATTCTTTGTCTCTTGACTACTACTCAGTCAAGCACAAAAAAAGAAGCAATAATAATAATGTTCAAAGGTTTCTGAAACAAAAATTCTTTTCACCACGAAAGTCCAACGGAACCATTCGAGATCTATAAGTGGATAGAGTTCTTTTCCGTCGTGTAATACCACAAAACGGAATCTTTCTGCTATTTATGATATATTAGATCACGTGAAAGAATTTTCCATGATATACCGATACATACCTAAAAATTCCTAAATTCCGGTAAAATTGATTATAGTACTGTAGTATGTACACAAATTATTAATACATATATATGTTGTAGTAACAATGACAATTATATTAGTTGAATTATTTCGCTTCATCTGCGGCGAGAGCCCTTGCAGTCATATATGTGAGAAAGAATTAATTTTGAATCTCTTTCATATATGCACCTTATAGTCATAATAGTACTAGAATCATTTTATAGCTTCGATATTTTTGGAAATCACCACGATGCGGTAAAGTTCGATCATTTCATTATGTTTATTATGGGCACTTCTTTTGAAGATTAGTCTTAAATCTTTGCAATATAGACACGTAATAATAATAATAAATCATATTTTACATATAATGAATAATTTCGTATTGGCTATTTAAAAAATTTAAAAACAAAACGTATACGTATCATAAAATAACCTGTAAAATTATAGAATTCAAATAAGCTATAAGTGGCTTTAGACATATAATAGGTTAAAAACTTTAAATCAACAACTTTGTTGCATAAATGCGCAAATAACTCAACGTTTCACGAAAAATGCTGATAAAGTAAAAAGATCCTATCTTTCGTCATATCAGAGAATGTATAGTTTATTTATTCTAGTCTATCGAGTTTCTTTTAAAACAGATCATGTGATAAACTCCGTTACACTAAATTGGTAATGCAATAATACCGATACGTGTAACAAAGTAGCAAGCATAAAAGGCATGTGTGATCCTGAGAATTTACATTACCGTTACCGTTTTTTTCTCGCAAAATAGAACTTTTCGAACGTAAAATGATAGAACTTAATCATGATTGCCTTTGGCAGATCTTCTCTAATTTGGAACAAGATAAAAACTCTCTACACGCGGCGGTACTAGTTAACCATACTTGGTGTAAAGTCGCAATTCAATTTTTGTGGAAAAAACCATTTCGTTTCTTATATACATGTCGAAAAGCATGCAAATGTTTGACCGAAAATCGATATAAGAAAGCGAAAAACCTTCTTGCTACTTTCATTACCTGTATTGCTCAAAATCAAGCTTCATCTGCCATTAATATGCAAGACTTTGTAATATGGACCAACACACCACGCACAGCCTTCGATTATTCATGTTTCTTACGTCACATCGACCTTCATGATTTGTTTTTAGCTCTTATAGATGGCGTCAAATATTTAATATCACATAAACATCTCGATTATGCAATAGCTTTCCAACATATCACAAAATATCTCTCACCGGATGATAATTGGGAAAGCGCAGTTATTCAGGAAATGGCTCGCGATATCTGCAAGCTCTTGGTATCACATTGTTCTAATTTAAGACACTTATCAATTGATATGGCTAATAAACAATGGTCAAAAGAAAATCACCGATGTTCAAGCCTTCCAAACATTTCTTTCTGGATAACTGTCAAAGAAATACCGGAAGAACTTTTGTTGATCCCAACATATCCAGGCGCCACCAAAAGTTTATCACAATTGGTAGAATTTTATTGGGGTGCTACGCATTGGACATCGGAATTTCTGATCGCTTTATCAAAGGTTTCTAAAAGACTTCGAACACTCATAATTGACATGTCTAATTTCGGTAGAAATGAAAGTAACGATCATGCGCGGAACCTGGGAACTTTAATAAAAGTGCAAACAGCTTTACAAGAAATCCAATTCATCAAATGTAAACCACGCGTTTTACCGTCAATTATGCAAGGACTTCGCACTCAAGCGAAATCTTTGCGTTACTTTTACTTTCAAGGAATGGTAAAAGATTGGAGCGTATTTTCAGAATTAGTGCATTTAACCAATATTCAAGAATTGAGTTTCGTTAAGGCCAACTTTCGATGTAGTGAGATTGAGATGTTAGCGTCATCAAGTTTCCCAAATTTAACGAAACTTGTTTTCGATACTACTAGTTTTCGATTTCCAATTATCATACCTGAAATTATCATACAAAGTTCAGGGAGAAAACTTAGAACATTTTCTTTACCTGCATATTTTTATCCATCATATGATGGATTTATTCCAACAGTTGCGCTGTCTGTTGCTAAATATTGTCCAAATTTAGTGCATTTCGAATATCATACTACTAGAAGAGAGTTTTCACAGTTGGTAATACTTTTCGCTTCATGTCAACATCTTGAAAAAGTTATGCTTGCTGGCAATACAGAAGATGCAAATGAATTATTTTTAAAACTAGCAAATTTGGAACTACCAAACTTACGAGAATTTGAAATCACCGCACAATGGTCTTACACCGCATTATCATTGGAAACATTTCTTGTCAGATCGAAAGCACCACTCCGAAATCTTGTGATCCGGTCTTCTCCATGCTTCTCTGATGATCACTTGGATGTCGTTTTACGATGTTTAGCCGACAAATTACATCGACTCTATATAGAATCAGCACAAGAAATGACTAAATTGATGTTGTCAAAAGCTAATGAAAGTATTAGCGATTTTGTATACAAGATGATAGATGAAGTTTATAATCCTGGATGGCTGTTAGAATGATAATATTCAATATATTTTATTAATTTCGCCTAATATAATTATTTTTTTAGTTATAATTTAACGACTTACCAAAAGTCATTGTGTATATATACCTAAAAGAATATTAATCTAATCCAATTTTTTCTTTAGAACTAGTTTTTTTTTTCTTTAAAGAAAAGTTATTCTTCACTTAATTGTCCTTTTCACAAACATAAAAAGTGATATTTCATGATGTATAGAGTTAATAAAATCACATTTGAAAATTTGTTATATAATAATTATAGAAAATACAAAATAAAAAAATTTATTTTTAGACTAAGACATCTTCATAGAAAAAGTAAAATTAATCAGTACCGTATTGTTAATATTTCTTCTTAAAACAATCACTTTTAACAACAGAAAACAAATTTAATCTGGCTTAGAACAAATCAAGATTTATGAAGTTTCAGTTGAAATGTTGTGACGGTGGACTGCCGGAAAAATGTAGTTATAGCACCTAAAGAAAAATGACATTATCCAATTACAGACGTACATAAGCCTTTTGGAATAATAAAAACCCAATTAAAAAGCCAAAGTCTGTTATGTAAGTGATCTTGAACGACAAATCACGGATCTCCAATCAATCACGGATCCCCAATCTTATTAGTGACATCAGGTCAGAACTCAATCAAAACGTAGGAAAAGAGTCGAAGTCGAAAGGACCATTTGTGTCATTTTAGATCTGAACCTGTCGAAAAAGAGACACGACTCGTTAAGGTGACTGATCACTTAATAGAATCAAACGTATTGTCTAGTCTAATTGATTTTTATATGATATTTTTTTGATCAAAATTTTATTATGCAGTTTTTATATTAAAAGGTTAGTAAACTATTTTTTAGATATACGTATGACGCTTAATAATAATAAAATTTTTTATTTCTAATTTTAAAATCTTTCATTTATTTAAATTTTATACACCACAGTCTAATATATTTTATTATACGTAAGACTATGAGTATAAATATTTTAACTTAAATTTATTTTTACTAAAGTTCGAATTATTTTGTCACGTAAATAAGGGAAAATAGTATCGGTATACATACTATAAATATTAATTATTTCAAGAAAAAAGAAATAGTAGCAAGATAGAAAAAATCTGTAATATTGCAAATTCATATGGAACTAAACATATTTTTGATTTATTAGACGATCAACCACCCAACGACTCATAATATTCATTCATATTAGAGAAATGTACGTATCTCTCACGAGATAAATCTAGTATACGATTCACATATCTCGCGTGAGATTATAAGCGCATTTCTCGCAAGTTATACGGATTCATTTTAGAATACCAAATGAGACCTTTTTCTAAAGAGCAATAAGGCAAATTGTATTATGGTGGTTAAGCATATGTTTTAACTAGAGTTTAAGGCTGCATTTAGAGTCAGACTTTATAATTAAAAATTTTCATCCTATGCGATATGATGTCATATTACGCCATTCGTGGATAATAAATTCGTTATCTCCCGTGAGAAACATGTCTTACATATTCATTATAAACTTTAATCTTACGCACGTCAATCCTGATGTTACTAATTAAATTTTTTTAGGACGTTATAAACGGAAAATGACGAAACTATGCTATTGAAGTTTTTATCAAAATAGCAATTTTAACTATAAATGCTCCATCATTAATTTTAAAACTTAGTGTACTACAAAGGATTTTTGATATTGAAACAAGTTTATTTAAAATCTTAATATATTACAAACAGCATGAGTAACATAGTAAATAATTAACTGAACAACAATAAAATGAGTATCCGCCGTCGATTATCCAGGTTAATTATACAAAAATAGTCAATTAGAATAAAAGCCCTATTATGCTAATCTAGTTATTCGAAATAATGTTCCAAAACGTAAAACATGCTAGCAATCTTTGATTCATATTCATTCGTAAAATATCCTAAATTCTTTATTTCTATAATAAACAAAAAAAAACCAAAAGCGTAAAATGAATAATTGCTCATTTGAACAATCGAGCAAGAATATTCACAGAGTTTCCGACTGCTCGGTTTTATGTATTACATTTTCCGTCGAACTGTTGTGACCCTCCAGGCTATATGATAAAGAACGAATTAATTATAAGTTGTCCTCAACTATAACTCAGGTCAAAATGTAATACATATCAATTCAACAACTATTGTTAGTATTTATTCAATATAATCTCCTATGCGCGTTACGTGTATTTCGTTGGACGATCTACTGTAAAAACTCTAAAAACAAAATCGAATAAATTATTAAAAATATTAAGAATAGAAAGTAAAACATAATAATTTTATAAAAAGTAAAAACGTATGATGAAAAAAATTATTATAAAAAGAGCGATGAAAAAATTATAGAAAGAACGTAAAATAAAAAAATTTTTATAAAAAGAGCGTAAGATAAAAAATAAAAGCTAGAATTGCAAAGAATTCTTAATGAAGAACCGATAATTGAGTATCGTCCTGCTTTTTTGAAAGGATTGGAATTTGATGCCTTTTTTCAAGAATATCAAATTGTATTAGAAGTTCAAGGAAGTCAGCACCGATTTCATAATACTAGCTGGTATAAGGATGTTAAAAAACTTTAATCGTGTTCGGTTAAAAAGATGCATATGTCAAGATAATGAAATTTCCTACTCGAGGCATGGTACGATGAAAATCCAGAGATTGATTCCGATAAGAATACAAAGAAATAGGTTTCGTTAAGCATTTAAAAATTGATCAATATGTCAATATTGCATCATAAATATGCAAGTCAAATTACTTTCAATTTAATTTTTTGTAATGCAATGGCAACCACAGTTTCAGGAACAGAGAGTAGTTTTGGCGTTAATGGAGCTGGTTGTTGTTTAAGTAGTAAAGTTACTGTTTTACTATTGATTAATAAACGTGAAATAAATATTTACTCATAAAAGGAAGCATATACTCATAACATACAGTACAAAACGTACAAAGACAATTGGGTCACTTTCTAAAAAGCTAGTTAACTTGATTCAAGATATTACAGAATCCAAGGTATTCATAATGTATTCCATTTTGAAACATGTATTTTGAATAAGCTAAAAATCTGTTTCTCTTAGGTGATCATTCAAATCGAAAATGAAGTTAATGCAGAACTGCGCAAAGAACACGATGGGATATTATAGAACTTGAATTCAGGAATTGCCATGTATAAAGGCCAAGGGCAAGAAACGTGATAAAATTTTTGAAATGATCCATGATATTTTTAATGTCGAAATTGTTGACAATAAATTTTTCATCAAGGTAAGGTAATATTCTTGGTTCATATTATTTTATATGCATTTTCTAATTTTTTTGTTCCTATCCAAGTTTAATAGTTTGGTGAAATCAGAAATACATTCAAAAGTGATGGATTCACTTGATCAACTTCTACCAATTTGGGTTGACTGCGATTGATGCAATATGTGTGGTTAACGGTAATCAGTATCGACCTGAGCCAGCACGTAATCAAAGAATTAAACCTATAATTAATTCATGTCCACCATGGTTGCTATGGATTGGATCTTATTCCCTTAACTTCAGAACTATGCAACTATTTCTTGACAATCAGCAAAAATATTGATAGGTACCTATGACAATTCTGGGGATCGTGATAATGCTATAAATAAATTCGCACGCATCATTATTTCGGCTACTGAAACTGCCTTTCCAACAAATTCAAATCCAGGCGTCGGTTCAGTGACTGCAACACCAAAAATGGCTCGTCCTTCTAGTGCTCCATGTCTTGGCCATTTGTCCGCAAGAAATATTATTACTGCAATTCAATGGTACAAGATGAAATGGAATAGACATCTTGTATTAAGATGTGGAGTGAACATAGATTTTAACGATAAACTTGAAGAAATTTATAATTAACAAATCAAATTGTCATACTGTACTTTCTTTATTGTGCACAAAAATTTATATGATCTGTGTTAGTGATATTGGTATCGGAATCTAATTTGCAATAAAAAAACATAAGGTTTAGCTATGTGACAAGGCGATAGAGAAGCTAGAATGGGACCCCCTTCATTTATTTAATAAAAATTACAATATAACATTTAAATACAATTTTTTATTTTTTTTTGAAATTATATTCTTTTTTTTAAAAAAAAGGGAGTCCACCAAATAAAATTTTTTTATTAATGCAAAGCTTTTTTTAAATTAAATTAAACAATATTTCATATGCTTTATAACGTCTATACAATGTTACAAGCTTTCATTTTCACATTCTAAAAACGATTTTTTTTTAATTGCTGATTTGGACCGTTTTTTTTTTCTGACAAATTATGTCAAATGGATTATAACTTTTAACCTAAATGCTGCAAAACAAATCGTGTTGCTATTTCTTAAATTATGTGGGTTTTTAATTTTATGTTTTGCTTTACTAAATTACTGTAAATGCAATATCGTGTCTCTTTAAAAAATGGCTTTGATCCGATCAGGTGCATCGCGTTGATTTTTCTTGAAACTCATGAACTCACTTCAAGCTTCTTACTTCTTTAACATTAATGTTCACAATTATTACGTTTTCCAAAGTGATTTTAGGTTCTAATTCATCGTAGCTCTCAATACTTATAGATCAGTGGAAGTATTCATCAAAATGAGATAAGTAATGTTAACCCCTGTAACTCGATATCATGTGCTGTGTAGAGTAATGTAACACTAATACTAAAAATGCTAGTTCTAGTAGAAAATAATAGTTCAAGTCACAATATTAGTTCTTATAATAACTACTAATTCTATTTAGGTATATTAACGTTAATAGAAATAGTAGAAATGTTAGATAAAGTATAATCAATTATAACTAGTATATATGTCATACGTTTGAACGGAATTATTGTAGATTTAGAATCCACATAGGTTGAAACGGAATTCCAAATGTGGTCCAAGTTGATACGTAGGAAATTTAAAAGCAACTTAAGTCAACTCTAAATTTGATACTATATAATCAATAAGTTGATAGCAATTTAAAGTTGACTTTAAATTCGATACAGTAATAATGTATGAATAATAGTTAAAGGTAGGGGACTTTAAAATTATATATAAACCCAATGGTAAATTTTTTTATATTTAATTTTATAAAAAATTATATTAAGTAAACTAA